TCCTTCACTTCCTACCCACGCCCGGTCTTTTTTTTCAACGTACACTAATATAACGTGGGGCCGTTTTACCTAGGCGCCACGCTCGTAAGCCTCTTTTTAATGTGATGTGATGAAAGAATCCCTTATTTCACTCGTTCATTACTCAGTACATGATACATATGTACCTAGGTAGCGTGCCTAGCTAGTGTCGTGTGTGGGTGGTCATGATATCGGTATATGCCGTCCATACCAGTGATGAGCCCCAGTCGTAAATTGTGAGTGAGGTGTGAAATAGAAGCTGGAGGTTCAATATAAAGTGTGAAGTGTGAAGTGTGATGAAATAACAAGACGCCTAGTAGGCATCTAGCAAGCACCTAGTCTCACTATTCGTAGCTGGGGAAAGTGAGGGGAACAAATGTATCAACGAGAAAGACGCGTGACCCTAGGTGTGAGAAGCTAAAGAGAGAGGATGAGACATTCTCATTAATACCATACCGACCTAGCACTCACGTTTACTATTTACATATCTACTGAATGGAGGAAGGAGGAAGGAGGAAAGAGGAAAGAGGAAAGAGGAAAGAACATTTCAACTTTGTCTCACAGCATTACTTCACAATAGTTCGTTCACTAGTACCTACGAGCCTACGAGTCTTATACGCTCAGCACTAATTCATTCATCACAATCAATCGACGACTCGAAAAAGTACCTCGCCTCGGAACTTCACATCATACATCTTACATCTTACATCTTACATCTCACATCTCACATCTCACATCACCTATCGCATATCACTCCCCCTACATCTACCCACCAGCATCGATAATTCAACACCATTTTCCGTATCATCGTACCTGCATCAACAACCCCTCCCTCATTCGGCATCTTTGGGTATGACAAACATGACTCTGTTTGCAAAATTGATCATCATTACTTGCAGGAATTAAATCCTAACCTCACCTCCTCTCTCACCTCCTCTCTCCCCTTAAGGAAAAAAAAAAACTATACCTAGGTCCACTTCAATCTCAATCTTTACCATTTCCGACCCGGTATCAAGTATTGAGCCGTAACGGCTTCCCAAATTCCAATCTCAGTATCAAAACTGTTTCCTCACATAAAAGTTGCATCTTTCTCACTGGGGCGTTCTTCATCCTAGGTTTCAAATTCGGTACCAAGCAAACCGACAACTAAGTCAACGAATGCATCAAATTGCACACTTCAATCCTGCAGTGCAACAATCAAGATATCCCAACATCGTATCATCACCACGATTTAACGTGTCAATCAGTCATCCAATCTTCACAATAGTTGTGTATCCTCAACTTCTAATTCTTTATTAGTCCTGCCGTACCTTTGTCCTGCGTGGTTCTTTCATCAAATTCCCTGAATCTTTTCGCGCCGAGGTCAAAAAAGATCGACGGCACGGGGATTTTACCTTCTCCATCTTCCTCCGCATTTTCATCCAAAACATCATTCCGGGGGTAAATACCTAAAGCAGGTATACACCCCCCTCAATAGGTTGGTTTACTTCATTCAATTCAGCTAGGTATGATCCCCCCCTCGAGCCCCTCTACAAATGTATTACTATCGAGTCGGCCCATCTGCAGTCAAGTAACATGCAGTTATAATGTCACCTTGTCATGTCGGTAATTACCTCTTTTGACAAGACATCGCAAGGCTAACCATATGTCTTCTAATTTGTGCTCTCTCTGAACCTTGTTTACATCATCTGACGATATAATTTGTTTCTTTACGGCGATTGGAGATTTAGTGTCTGCTTCATGGGATAGCAATGCTGATCTTGGACAGTCACACAGGTAGAGATTTTGATGCCCAAAGACTATTGACCACAATATGCAAAAATCACCATTGAGGAAGCCAGATCAAAGTTTGGATACAGCAATTCCGATAATACTACGGCCGCTATTTCGAGCGTACATCTTAGGTTATGCATCAAGTGCAGGACCAAGATTGTTAACTCTTTTTCTGGTTCACTTGAGTCGACATCGGAAGAATATTGACCCAAGACCCGATGGTGAAGGTTATTTTTGGACTTCATTAGTTGGAATTTTGAAGGGGGGTTTGGAGATCCAAAGGTTTCCAACATTTTGTGCGGCGCTGGTTGGAGGCAGTACTTTATTACAGGCACGTGAGAGTTGGTCATGGTGAACGATGAGGATGATGCTGACTGCCGATCTAGATTCCTTTACGGGAATTATTTGAAAGGTTACTGGGAAATCTATCTGTGATCACCCAGCTAAGGTGTGTTGTCTTTCTATAATGTAATATGCGTTTCACCAACTTCGGGTAAGGGGAAGAATAGGCTCAGCTTTGAGTGCTATACATAATACTCTAACCATTTCCACCTCCCGTCTAGATCGTTGTGGCTGTGGAATCTATTTCCTAATCTCCATGCTGATATAAAATCATCTAGGCTCACTCGCTATCTTTCAACCTTCATATCAGCTTACTTTAGTCTCAAATTACTTCAATCCCGTCCAAGTAAAACCTTCACTGAAGATCTACCATACGAAACCAAAAATGGAGTCGAATTACGACCTACTCGGTTTGCAGGAAGAACTCTAGACTTGACACTATTCGCATTTACTCGAGCTGTTGATTGCATAATTGGGGAATTATGGGCTAGAAGGAAGAGCCGGCGGCAATTTTCTGGCAGGTGGTCGAGGGTAAGCTTTCAATACTCAAATAGCCTCTACAAGCACTGCTGACTTGAATATCAGGTAGATAGAACAATCTCCTCCCTCACAGACCCAGCTTTGTTTGCCACATCCTGCGCTCTAATAATGTGGGCTTTTATTTACACCCCCGCTCGTCTTCCTAGCGCCTACAACAAATGGATTAAATCAGCCGCCCAAGTGGATTCTCGTCTACTAAAAGCTCTCCGCTATTGTCGCTATGGTGAACTCAAATACGGAGTCGAAACAGGGCAAGCACATCTCCTGGGAGATATGTGCAAAGATTATGGTCTACCAGAAGAGTATGGAGACCCTACAAAATCCATTCCATTTCCATGTGAATTAGTCCACATGGGTGCCGGTCCAAGCTGTGAACTCCACGCAGTGTCTAGATTTTATAAGTCTTTTATTTGGTCTGCTTCGATGTATTTGCCACTGAACTTGGCACTCATCTTCCGCAATCCAAAAGTTTCGAAAAAAGCTTTTACTCATGCCCTCAAATCATCAGCTCGTTCTTCGGCTTTTCTCTCTACTTTTATATCACTGTTCTACTATGGTATCTGCCTGACTCGTACTAAATTCGGTCCTCAGATCCTTGGTACATCTCCTCACGCCTGCCAAGCCATCGATTCGGGATATTGTATAGGAACGGGATGTTGGATGTGTGGATGGAGTGTGCTTATAGAGAGTGCAAAGAGAAGAGAAGAAATGGGACTGTTCGTAGCACCAAGAGCATTAGCTACACTTCTGCCGAGGAGGTATAGATGGGAAGATCAGTGGATTGAGAGGGCAATTTTTGCTTGGGGGACGGCGGTTGTTTTTACGTGTGTAGGAGAGAATAAGAATGGAATTAGGGGAGTCTTGGGAAAAGTTGTGGGTGGGGTTTTACATTCTGGAGGTGGGTTTTAGGCAGGAAGCTAGAGTTCAATGTAAAGGTATTGTATAAATGTGTAACTGGCAAAAGTTGGATATAGCGGCGTATATGGGGCGCGTATCATAAGCTGAATCTCCGTCATTACATAGCGCCCCTTCGAAACTCCAAATGGATATTTTCGCAATTTCAGACACGAACATGACTTGTTTTTTTTTTTTTGTTTTTTTTGCGAGATGGTTGTAGTTCCTAGCGTTCAGTATCCATGAAAGATTGCTTGAAAGTTCTAGCTATGAAGTGAAGTAGTTTTGCTGTGATAAGTTCGAGATTGTTTTTGTTCGAGGTTTTTTCTGGTTCCAATAGCCATGTCATGGTAGGTTTTGAATTTTCACAAGGCGAGAAAGGATTTATGTGGTCACTACCTGTAAGACAAAGTAGCTTATAACTGACAAGGCTATTGTTTGATAGGCTCTAGATGGCAAAAATCATCGTTTAGGGTGATGAGCGGGCTAGTTGCTCATGTTTGACTTTGGAAAGCCAAAATAGTTGGAACGCTCCTCGTGAATTCTGTGAGGTATTCTGTGAGGTGTCTAGTTGTGTTTCTTGAGCGTCATCTGTTGGGAGACTATGCTGAAGCCAATTGAAATGAGAAGTTCTGAGAGAGAGGGGTGTGAGCCAAAAGCTCATCGGAACATGAAAACAACAACAAAGCATGCTTTCATAGGTCTGCGAGTGGGTTTTTTTCTTGTAGCAATAACGCTTAGGGGTTCAAGGTCAGACGAAAGAATTCAATTTTTGATCATCCGTTTTTCACAGGCACAGTTCGCCTTCAGTGCCTCTGATCGCTTTCTCTTCATATTACCTGTCTCATATTTGAATGTATGAAGGATGTCAGATTTTAAAATACTCAAGCGAGAGACTTTAACTCCAGTCACTTCGTACCTTCCACAAACCTTATATCACAAGGACAAGGACAAGGACTTGTGTAATCAGAAGTGCGGATCGGCTGAGTGAATTTGGTCATATTAAGAGATACTAAGATATTGTATCTAACTCACGGGCTTCTTTTGTGCTGAATGCTTGTTTGAAAGGAATCCTACACGAAAAATGATGCTTGTTTCGGATACTTATTGTTTTACAAAGCGCTCACTACTCAGATGCTCATTCAAAGTTTTCTTTCAAAATAGACTTGATATCTGATCGCGACAAGCAAAGATGGCACGACCACATATATTAAACCCCTCCCTCCTATTTTGCAACGGTCTCCAACTCCTCACTCCATTCGGATTACACCCGCGTAACGAAACGTTGACTTCTGAAGTTCACTAAGAGAAAACGTTCCGGCCCGGTCATCTGGCACAGTCTATACATTCTCGTAAGATCTCTATACTTGAGAATGGAATGGGAGTAGTAATATACTAATATTAGATAGGGTCTCACAATAGTCAGTTCCATCATGTCAGTCTCAGGACCATCATCATATGCATTCTCAAGGACAGTCTTCTTCAATCCCAACGGGATTCGATCGGAAGGCATACACTGTCCTTCCAATCTTGATTACAAGAAATTTATTTACATGTTTAGCACCACCGAAAGAGAGAGTATCCGTATTGCCATTCTCGATCCCTCAAGTTGGCATTATTTTGATAGTAATAGGAATTACCAGATTGCTCACCTCTTTCCGAACCTGAAAGAAATCGTATTTGTTTGCGCCAAGCCCTGGAATGTGGATAAATATAGCAAGAGGAGATCCGCTCTTCAATTCGTGCCTTTGAGAGCTGGAAGATATGTGCAGTCCGGACCTTGCAGAAATTACCTGACTGAAAGAAGATCTTTAAGAATCGAAAGATTGATACGCAAGCAAAATGGGAAGCCACTCGATACTTACGACGACGACGACGACGACGACGAGGAGAGAGATGAGGAAAAATTTGGAGTTGGTTTCTTAGGCGACGGGGATGAGAAAAACGAACATGACAATGAAGATCCAACAGACGATGCAGGACAAGGCGAGAATGGCTTCAAGTATTACTCGCGCTGGGAGGATAAGAGAAAGGAGTTTGAAGACATGTTCCATGCGGCTTTCACAAACAGCGATGGTTTGTTATACCATGAAAGGGATTCTGATCCAAGAATTAGCATTCCTAAAATCACATTCTATGGTATCACGGAATTAAAGGACTAGGGGGGGGTTTTGGATGTGAGCTTCTGGTGCTGGGTATTTTTGCCACTACGCACTGATAGCTTTGGGTTAAGCGAGGCTGGGAAAATGGGAATAGGTTATTAAAAATGATCAGAAATTGAATACGTGACAGATTCTAATCTGATTCGCCAAGTGTACTTCTGCTGCCGTTGGAAAATGATGGGGTTTATTCGAAGTTCTGGCGAGATAAGTATCAAGTGAATCTCATATGACTTGTGGATTCCTGAATGACTGACGCTGGCTTTATGATTATGGTCGCCAGGCCTTAGTCTGCTAGATTTGTCACTTTCGCAAGTATGCGTATATATTCAAGATGATTGTTTATTTTGTACTTCGGTACTGTTCTTTGAGATTCGTATTGGGTGTTGATAGATTCTCAGATCGTTCGTGAGCAGACACCTAGTTCTTTTTGTTTGTGAGACATTGTGATGTGTCGTTTTTGTTAGTCACTTGTGTTTCTCAATGTCTGAATTCCAATTACTAACTCTTGATCTCTGTCTCGACACCCTCAGTAACGACTGCGTCACATAAAGCTCCTGTCATTTTCTACGGTCCTCCTTGTCTCTTATTACTACCCATTTTGCTTCATCTACTTATTGCTGGTTTCCAAGTCTTACAACTCTCTGTGAATTGCTTGCATTAGATTCAGCAGCGAAAGTTCAACTCATTCATTTGGAAACATATGGAATGTCGTGAATCAGTCAATATAGTGGAAAGACAAGTATGCTAAATCTAAGATAATTTCTGACTTGCAAATTCTCTTGGAATCATGCCATACTTGCTGTAATGTTTAGACAACAACATCATAATCCCATCTCATGTGAACACTACCTGAACAGACTCAAGTCCATGTGTAACTTTTCAGCCGCATAAAACTAGGCCGTTATTCAACAGGAACTGCAAGAGATACCCAGCGAACAACTCCGAGCAGATTCGTATTTACAAGTGTAAATCGCATTGCAAGATTCTCTCCGCAGCATCTTCAGGCCTTCAGAACATTCAAGAGATATCGAACCCCCCCAGATCTTGAATCCAAATCCGCAGACATGCCAGAACAATGCAACTCCTGTGAGTACGAGGTAGTCAAGTGTTGCTACTGCAAGGACTTCAGCCACCAATTCGTCGAAACACCCTGCAACGATTGCGCATCTGAACGAACGGCCCCCTCCTGGAATAGGAATGACCCCATCTGGATCGGGTTATGCGAAGAATGCTTGCGTAACGGTCGGTCTCCGAGAGTCGAGTCCCGCGGGAGTTTCGTCGCCTTTGTCCTTGTTCTTTCGCTTTGTTCTCTGGTTTTGCCTTTGTTTAGTGAGGAGGACTTCGTAGTAGCGTGTATTACTTATCGCGAGATGTAGAAATTTTTCGAAGTGCCCTAGAAAAATCTTTTCAATTATGAGATAAGTAAGGTGTTGAAAAATAAAATAGTCTAGAGTATCGTTTCTATAATAAAAATAGTTAAAATACGTTTTTGCTTTAAATGCGTTTCAGGTGTTAAAATATGACTGAATGACTATATAATATAATTATCTTGATCTATTGGTCTCTAGTTGAGTCTATCAACGAGATTAAATTATGTGAATTTTATACTTTTTAACCCTTTTGTAAGTGGGCCGGTTATTTTCGTGACTTGATTCCTCGTAATTTATTTCTCTTTCCTCTCTTCAACTATGACATTGTGATATTTTGGATACAATCAAGTATCATATCGGTCTAGGAAATTAGAATACTCAATCTATCAATCGAGCTACCTATGACTACATTGATAATTATCGAGTTTTTCTAGCCAATACATTATCATTTATACTCTTTTTAGCCGACACTCAATCTGTGCTTGTGTTCCAACTGGATACCTCCAGATCTTAATAACCTCCAATCCAGCTGCGTCAATAATCTCTCTGAATTCTTTCTCACTCTTCTCCTTTCCATTTAATATCATCATACAAAAATCCATCCAATAAATCATCATCTCGCCACCAATATCCGTCTTCTCTGGTCGTATCATGTCGGCAATTACAACGCGGGATGTAGGACCCATAGCTGATACGATGTTTTTGAGAAGTTGAATGCAGACTGGTTCGTAGAAGTCGTGGAGGATACGTCGGATGAAGTAGATGTGAGCATCTGTTTTGTGTTAGGTTTCTAATTCTTTTTGGGTTTCTGCACCAGATCGTTGAAACTTTCAACCCCCGTACATGTATCCTTATTTCTCCTAATGCACTCCTCAACCGATCACATAACTCGCCTAAGATGATGCACTTGAACGAAAGGTAGTGAATAACTTACTTTTAACAGGTTGAGGTGTATGGAAATCATAAACCATCTTCTCAATATTAGGAATATCTTGCTCCGTTAAACATTCCAGAACATCCCGTCTATCCTGAAGAATCATCTTTGCACCAAAACCATCTGGTGCTTCTTTTTGAATGGCAAGTAAAGCTTGGCCTCTTCCACCTCCGATGTCTACCACAAATGGTCTCTCTTTTTCCGCTTCAACTTCTTCCTTGAGTGTTGCAAATGGATACATGCCAGTAATAGGCGATTGTCTTTCCATAGTTACCATGGTCGTATTAAACATATGTAGACGCTCGGGAGTATGAGAGATTGCTTCATAATAAGTTTTGCCTTCTAACCCATGGCCATAGGCGTATGGTCCTTTTGTCAGATCGTAGAGATCTTCTTTGGAATGGGTTCGGAAGTACTCTGGAAGTTTAATATATGCGGGAGTATGGTCGTAACTAGATCGTCAGGGGTTTTATACACAATTAAGGAGCAGGTAGGAAAAAAAGGGAAGGATGATTAGGGAAGGTAATTGGCTCTGATAACTTACATGAGTTTGAAGAATTCTTGTTGGAAACCGGGTCGGTATGCAAGAGATTTACCATTGTGCGCAAAAATATCCGGCTCTACCTCTTCTCCTATACCAAACATGACAGACATCCTTAATGCACGGGCTTGAGAAGAGTCAGTCCGAGTCTATGGGATGCGTCTACTGGTGGAACAACGAACCAATGGCAGATTCATCTACATTGACTGCTGCTGCCAGGTCCTTTGCCGTGATTGATCCTTCTTCAGGCATTGTCTCAAATGTTTTTGTTTCTACTAAAAGGTTGAGAGCAGCAATGACATTTGCCTATGTCGGTATATTAGCGTGAGTAGATTAACTGACGATCCACCCGTCCCAAGAGCTGAGACGCACGTATTCCCATTGTCGCGTCACTACGTCAATTGGCTCCTCGAGAAGAAGTCGCAGTTTATCAACCTGTTTGAGAAGTTCTGTTCTGGCATGATGATTGCCGTCAAAATCCTTGACTTTGGTTGATATTTCATCTGCAGTTTGCGATATTTCGGGAGAGTTTTGGAAATAATCCATGGCGATTTTCAGTCGTCGTTGACAAAGCCATAAAACTGCTGATTATTTGATAGGTTTGAGGAACAACATGCTATGTATGTACTCGAATTACTAAGATGGAGAACGTTTCTTTCAAACTTTCTGAAGCGCCACGTCATGATATCAAAAATGATGTGGGGATCTAACGGTTTGAAGTGGGGATAACCCATTCTTGCTGACGGTCGATCGTGGAATATTTGTTAAGAACGGATATGCTACCGGATTCAAATCCATGTCCCGAATATACCTTGTCGCTTCCAACCACAAGCTCGGGGGACAGGGAGAGATCGAGCCGTCCCGAGAAACTCATCAGAAATCCACAAGGACATCACTGGCTTACCATTGCGATGACATGGCACTGAAAAACAAGGAAGAACGGAAACTTTTCTAGATTTAGAAGCTCAAACTGTGAGGAGAAATCTTTCAGCGACCTTTGAAATAAATACGGTAACATTCCCACAATATGCTTTTAAATGATGTAAAGATTATTGTGACAGTTGAGATAATCAATGTCGGGACGAAATTTCATCGAGCCTGGAGATGATGATTTTATTGATGAGGTTCGTTCATAAAGAAAGCGGAATGATTGTGGATACTGACAAAAGCAGGGAGCAGACGTTGGAGAAGATGTGAGGAGCTCTCTCACGTCGCTAACTTCAGGTATCGTAAAGGGAGTAGAAGAGAATGGAAGAACATATGCTATATATGGTCAGGAAGGTAAGGACTGATCTCTAATATGCATATACTGGTCGTTAATGTACTGACAATCGAAAGAGTATGGAATGCCGATGGACGAAGTAGAGATGGACCGAATCGATATGGCGCATGCAAAGTACTTTATGCTTCTTGAAAAGCAACGATTCTTGGCACCTATTGATGCAGATGTCCAAAAGGTCCTAGACCTTGGTACTGGAACTGGTTAGTTTTTCGTGCAGTTTTGAGGTGAGGCCGAAACGAATCGAGACTGACTATGACCAGGAGCTTGGAGTGTTGATTTTGCTGATGCTTATCCATCCGCTGAGGTGAGTACCCAATCATCTTCAACACGATGAGGATAATCTGACCCTGAAAAGGTCGTGGGAATAGATATTGCTCCGATACAACCCGTTTGGTAAGGCCTCTCTACAATGTCGTGAATTGGAAGAGCAAAACTTGCAGATATATTTGATTTGACTTCTTTTCAGGGCCCCGCCAAATTGTCAATTTCAAGTCGACGACATCACTCAACCCTGGACATGGAAAAAGGATACTTTCGATTTTGTCTTCGCTAGAGATTTACTTTTCTCAGTAAGAAACTGGCCAGACTTAATTTCTCAATGCTATGAGTAGGTCTCTTCCTCGGACATCAGACAAATTCTAACTGTTTAGTCACGTCAAACCCGGCGGTTGGGTGGAGTTCCAATCGATTCATGGTGTTTTAGGCTGTGATGATGATACACTACCCCCTGACAGTAAATTCCGCAAATATGATAAACATATTAGAGCCGCAGCAGTCGCATTTGGAACCCCTCTAGAAGCACCTGCTTCATTCAAGAAATGGTTCTGTGAAGCTGGGTTTAAAGCTGTTGTGGAAAAGAAGTACAAGATCCCTTCAAATCCATGGCCGAAAGATACACGACTAAAGTTGATCGGGGCTTTGGAACAGGAAAACTTCATGACTGGGCTAGAAGGTATGAGTATTCGTTCTCTTGATAAACTAGGCTGGAGTTTAGACGACAGCATAAGATTTCTTGGCGAAGTAAAAATGGAAATCAAAAATAGGAGAAAACATGCCTACTATCCATTGTAAGCTACTATCCTCAGTTTTATGCATAGGAACTGATAATATAGCTACGTTGTATATGGTCGAAAGCTAAAACAAGAAGAAAAAACCATGGCTTCATAACATTCTAGAATGATGAAATGAAATTTTCAATTCGACAGTATTTTACGATGAAGCTATGTGGCTGGTGATGAAGATCTGAAGCTTGGAAACATTGAGGATTTCTTATTATTCTAACCCAAATTTGTTGAAAGGAAAAAAATAAAAATAAAGCCATCTTTAAAGTTTACCTGGAAAAGATTCTCGTGGAGCAATCGTCTCAAGTATACGGTCTGAAATACCACAATGAAACTGTAAGAATCGTACAGATGTCATAGAAGATACCAGAAAATCCCGTGTCCACAGTTCTCTGTAAAAAAACAATTTATATAAAAAATTCAGATAGCAGGGTTTGAAGCCTCAGCGGAATGCATCATTAGAACCTGGAACTTGGAGGGTGCCGCTGAGCGACTAGCCTAGGGGAAATATCACTTGATTTAATATCACACAAACTCTCACATTCGCAACCCCTTCTTCTGCCGAAATCAAATCTGTGGAGCATATGATCACGGAGGTGACTGGGTGACGTGAGCACGAAGATAAAAAATTATATTGTAGAATTATTATATACACTGAAATCTTTGAATGTTAGGGCGACGATACTCAATGCTAGAAACATCATACCGTGCATCATTCTGCTTTTATCTGCGAGATATCTACATGTCTTCCTTGGTCAGATCTGCTGCTCTCTCTGCCACAGCATACAAAGTACTAACTAAATGTCCAGAAACCTGCATAGGTAATATACTAGCATCCACAACTCTCACATTTGCCGTTCCATATACCTTCAACCTTGAGTCTACTACTCCACCGATCTCTCTTGGCATCATTGCAGCCGTCGATACTGGATGAAAGTTTGAACGATAAACAGTTTTAACCCAATCAAACCATTCCGCCTCGGTGGCATTAGCTGATACTGTGTTCAATCCAGGCCTAGTCTCTGATCCGACGAAAGAGGACAATGGAGAAGTGGCATAAACGGAGCGAATAAACTTGGCGGTAGCGATTTGTGATGTGATATCCCAATCAAGCATGTAATAATTTGGATTGATAGCTGCGGGTGTGCCAGCTACGGAAGATGTGATGTGAATACTTCCCCTTGCAAATGGTAACAAGGCCCAATATTCCGAACTGAAAGCTGTTGCGGATGGTGAGACGAGTATTTCAGCCATTGGAACTGGGTGAGTAGTTGAGAAAATTAGATCATGTTGAATTTTGAAGAATTTCAACAAATCTGCAGCTTTGGTGATGTTACCTGATGCAGCTGATACTTGAGCAGCATATGAAGGAAGAGATTGAAGAACATGAGCGGAGATATTTTGGATTTCAGAACCAAATACTTGGGCTGCGGAAGGATAAGCTACCAAGGTTCCGGCTCCGGAGAAAGAGGTATTGCCTGAACTGTTGTATGCAAGGCCAGTATTTGTTTGATCTTGAAGATTTTCTCCGACAGTTGGAAGATCAACTACAACTGAGATATTATGCTTGCTCAAGATGGAAGGGTTTCCAATACCGGAAAGTTCGAGGAGAAGAGGAGATGCTAGAGCTCCAGCTGAAAGAATGACCTCGGAGTTTGCAAGAATAGTGTATGGAATGCTTGAGTCGTTGCAAAGAACTTCGACTCCATTTGCGGTAGGGGTATCAGTGTCGGATTTCCATGTGAGTCGTTGAGCCATGGTATTTGCGTAAAGATGGAGATTCGTGCGGTTGGCAATTGGGTAATAATATGCTCGCCCAGCATCATGACTAATGTTTAATGTTCTGTCGTAAGTAGCTGGGTATCGATTGTAACCAACCATTCTACCATTATTGACATCATTATTTGAAGGAACACCAAGAGATGCAAATGTGTCATTCAAGGTTGTGTGAAAGTTGCTAGTATCTTCCAAGCTATTGAGCCAGCCGACCTTCAGTGGTCCACCAAAACCATTCACCGAGACGTCATATGTTGTACCAGCTTCAACTTGAGCAGTGGTAGGAATTTCGAGTGCCTGAGATTTTTTGTAGTATGGGAAAAGGCTTGCCCAGTTCCATCCATCGTTTCCAATGGCCGCCCAAGCATCAATTTGAACGTCTTCGGCTCGGGTGTATGCCATTCCTAGTTATGTTAGCAACTTCATGAATAGTTCAATGAGGAAGCATACCATTGATAGTACTAGTCCCTCCGATGACTTTGCTAGCTCGTAAAACCTGGTTCATGTTTCCTGCATACTTTTAGTTGGTCGATTGATACGCCCAATCGATATCTGTTCCAAAAGCTAATCCATAACCGAATGGATTTGTCACATTGGGATTGTTGTAACCCGAATCACCCGCCTCAATGACAGCCACAGTAACATTCAACTCGGATAAACGGTTTGCGATGACTAGACCACTGGTTCCAGCACCAACAATAATATAATCATAGGTTAAGGTAGAGTCAGTGCTAGCTGCAGCCAAAGAGGCTAGAGCAAGTGTAGAGAGCACACGATACATGATCTTTGGATTTATAAAGAGATGAGAGAGTGAAAGGACGAAAGAATGTAATGGCTAGTAGAACAGAGCATTGGATGAAGTCGTTGGTGAACTTATATGAACATTATCCACATGCTATCGATCGACCCTGGGTCTATCTAGAACCATCTCTACCGCCGACTCGGGCATTCAGTGGAGCATATAAACTCAATTTTGAAGATTATGTAGCATCGGTAGGTTCTTCGCAACTTTGACAAAGCAATTTTCGTGTTTGACAAAGCAAAGGGGGATACCGAGATGCCATTCCACGCGTCAAATGTATGGAGCCTGCGTTGAGTTTAAAGAATTAAGATTTATGGCCCACAATATCTTTTGGTTTGAACTTCAATCGCTTGACTGTGACGTCGGCAAAGCCTCGTCAAAGAATAATAATACCGAAAGACATTGACGCACGCAAGGATCTGCTTATCTATGCCCATCAAATTGTCAGCACCGATTAAGTGTCGTTATGTTGACACTCAATCAGATTTATCAAAGTTCGATGGGACAATCCGACCAATCCGCCCAATCCGACCATTTTCTGGATCTCGTCACCTGACTCGCTTCGGGTAGCGTACCATACTAGGAGAAGTATAGAATCCATAGATTCTGTTGTCTAACATAGATCTAACATAGACTTCAGTCAGAAGAGAGAGGGAAAACACCATCGATGCAGGAGAGAAGGGAGTCATGGTGTTATGATATCAGCAAACATTATGATTCATGGAGTTCATGAAGTTCATCAAAACTCAAGAGCGTGGCGGAGTTCTGAAACGACAGAAAATTCTCAATGGTGCACAGACAGAAGGCTGGAAGGAACTGTGGAGATTCAAATTTCCACTCAATAAACTTGAATAAAGATCCTCAACGCCTCCGAATACCCCTACCTTATTAATATCTTACCAACCGGACCGAAAGAATGAGACCGACTTTAGAAAGCATTGATAAGCCATCAGAGTATCCACAAAGTCGCATGGAGATGAACTTAAGCTTAAAGGTTTATTTGGACTCGATCCACTACCACTGCCAATCATTCCCGACCTCTATCATTCATTCACCCTGCTACCGGTACCTACCAGTACAACGGTCGATCCGCAGCAGATTACATGGTTTTGTAATAGATATCAAAAGTCTAGGCGTAATTGGTGTATCGGTTATTGGCTTAGTGAACCCCGGTGCTGGATGGTATTGGAATGGATTTGGATAGAAATTATTCAGGCTGAGGAGTGCACACGAGAAGCATCAAAATATCAGAATTCAACACCACACACAGGTCACATGGCTTCGCCTCGTTGTCTACGCATTCGTGTATCAAAAATGCAATGGCGACATGCTCTCTCTCTATCGATGACGTGCTATGGCAAATGGATGCATCTTAGAACGGGCAAGTCAGAGACAACAAAGCAAATATGAGATTAGGAGACAGAATATGTACGTGTTCCAATATATACAATCAATAATAGAAAGGCAAGTTTTTGAGTCTTGTTCGACTAAGACTCTCAACACTACCCCATTGCCCCCTTCCCTCCTTGCTCGCCAGATTCAAACTTCCATCAGCGCTATGATACGGTTCACACACTACTTCTTGAGAGTCAAAACTCCAGGACGGTAAGGCTGAGTATCATAGTTGCCGTTGGAGGAAGGATTCTTTCCCTGGTACAGCAACTGCAAGTTACATGGATCAATCGTCATCGTCTGATCCGGATTGCTGCGAATCAAATCGCCATGACTGATATCGTTAGTCCAGGTGGCACCACTGTTCGCCTTTCCGGCGAACGGCGCCGCCTCAGTCGCAGCCTGGGGAGTCCATGTACCGCTTAGACTTGTAGCGGTGAATGATCGGAAGTATCGCCCCTTTGATCCGATTGCTTCGACGATCATGAGGTACTTGTTTTGACCTGCTACGGTGTAGACCTGAACTGCTTCGAAGATGTTGTTGGTTGTGTCGCTAAGGACTACGGTTGATGCTGTGCCGAAATTTCCTGGGAAATTTCCGACTGGCATGCTAGATCTGTAGATTTTGCCGTTGTCTCCTGCGAAGAAGAGATACATGTTTTTGCTGTCACCGATGACGGTTTGGTCGATGGGGCTAGTACTAGAGCCGGAGATCGTGCCGGAGAAGAGGGGCTGCGATGGTGACCAGCCGTTCGCATTGCTTGGGTCGCTTGATGTCTTGTAAGAGAATGCGGTTGGGCCCCATTGATGGGCCATGATCCAGATACTCTTTGGAGCGAAGTAGAAAAGTGTAGGGGCAATGGTGGTTGAAGTCATTGCGTTTTGGCTGGCTGAGGCCATGTCAGACCAGTTTGTGAAGAGCCCAAAGTTCATTGAGCCATAGGCGGTTCCTGTGTCGTGGTCTGTAGCATAGACAAGGTGTTGGCCCTTGTAGACAACGTGGGTGAAGTCCTTCAGTGAGGCCCATCCTGACTTTGGTGTCGCCAATGCAGAAGTGGATGTCCAGCTATATGTGGATGGGAGGTCACATGTGGCGGCGAATGCTTGCGGCAGTACTGCCACGTCTAGCAGCAAGGCGAAGAACAAAGTAGATATGCGAAACATGATAAAGATATATCACAGAAGACTTAGAGCTGAGAGAGGAATAAAGTTATTGAGATGATTGAGAGATATCGAACACAAGAACCTCCCGATCCTGCTCTCTTTATATCATATCACTCCCTGGCTGGTGACATCGCCAAGTCCATCGATCCAAAATGCCAACGAAACAGCTAGCAAGGGTATACCATAATACTTGTTTACAATTGATTCTCTCTGGAATATACCTACTACATAGCATAGCTATATAGATCGAATCGATTATGAATTTACTACTACTACTATACCTACTACAGGACGTAAAATTGAAATAAAATTATGAAAAACTCCAATCATTACAAGTCGTTTAGTTATGGTAGTGTTTGGATAGACTTGTCTATATCTTATTGTCTTTTCCAGCAACTAGTAGAGTCGTATTTTATTAGTTGCTCCCATTAATGATTTTTGTTATAGGTACTATAAGATACAACGTTGAAACAAAATTATGGGGAAGCCTGCTTGTCACAGGCCCCTCTAATTACGGTAGTGTTATGATTGGCCCGTACACACCAGATGCCAAGTGGGCACTAAGTGTGATATTAGCATCGAGACAGACGACCTCGGCAGTTCTAGAATCTTACCTAGCTTCAATTCCTTAGGAATGATAATCATGTTTACCTCTTTTCCAACTAGCCCTTTTTTCCCCATATTTACTTCTCATATTCAAGAACAACTATTCCTCACAGCCTATTTGTTCACCTCCTATTGCATAGCATTTTCCCAAAATATTAACCTTCTCAATATGCCTCATTATTCCGAATTTGTTAAGAGTATAGGCGTTCAAATCAGGAGAACTTTCTTGAACTAGGAGTGCAGGATGTCAGACTTTCGATCCGAGTATACCTCGAGAAAAGTGTTCATATGTTTGCATTTTCTAACAAGAAACTTGATTGGTTGTTAGCTTTTTAAAACTTGAATAATCAAGCATTACGCCATAGCTATGAACTCAAGGCTCGCTATGAGTTTAGATAGATAATTCAAGAAATTCTGCATAGTTATTACAAATCAGTTTTCACACCGTTCATTTTATCTCATCTTTTTGCAAGATTCTTGAAGGGAACTGGAAGAGTCAGTAATCTCGGGAGTTTATATGCTCATGGTCGATCCCTCCAGTATTCATGATACCGAGGTAGGAACATGGTACAATGCTGGCCGAGTTTTGGAAAGATTTCATTGGGCAAGTTCATTTTGTCTGAGATGATGGGAGGGGTGGTTTTGATATCCGGAGGAAATTCAATGTTTGCTCTTTTAAATTTCAGAGTCTTTGCATGTTAGTAGACTGACAGCACTATATCTTTGTTTGATTCAGGCTCTTAATTGGCTGTCTTAAAAGTTAAGAGGGTCGGGAAAGCTTAGATTGACCTTGTGTGGAGTTCGAGATACTTAATCCTAGAAAGGGTTGTTGGGCGCTTAGGTCCATAAATGTCATCGAGAAAACCAATGACTCGTGTTCAATAACTATGCTATGGAAAAGAGGTGTTCGAGAGTTGAGAGAGTGTAATGCCTTGTAGAAGAAAATCAATCATATTACTAGTTATTCGATACTCACTAAGCAAGGATATTGACATAAGTCTACTTATATCCTTACATTTCGAATACTTCAGAAATTGAATTTATGTACGCTTAAAACTTTAGTTATTACCGAGGCCGATTTGGTCGATATGGTCAAAACTTCAAAAATAGATTTCTGTTTGATGAAAAAGTGTATTTAGTATTCAGAAATATGGGAATAAAAATTAATATTATCTATTACTAAATTGCTTTCGTAATTTAATACTGTTTCTTCTTTTCAAATTTTATAAATATTCAAATTTCTTTAATTTTTTCTTATTCATTTTATATAATTTTATTTATATAATTATAATAATTTAATCTTAAATTTTATTATCTTAATATAAAGAATTAATTTATAAATAATATAATAATAAATATAATATTTATAATATTAAATAATATTTTTTTAAATCCATTATTAAGATTAAAATTAGAATTATTATTAAATACTTTAATATTTAAAGATTTAATTAAAAGTTTAAAATTAATTATAATAATTTTATATTTAAAAATAAAATTATTATATATTTTATTTTATTATATAATAATTAAAGAAAAGCTTTTAAAATTAATAATTATAATATATTTATAAAATATATTAAAGATATATATTTATTATTCAAACTTTATAAAAAGTTTTTGTTTAAAGAATAATATAAATAAGATTAATATTAATTTAAAATTCTAAAAGATAATATTAAATCATAATATATTCAAGAATATAATAAAAGATTATTATATATTTATTTTTAAAGGAAAAAGAAGTTTATCTTATAATATAATTTTTTTAATTAAAATTATAAAATATATTTATATTGATATTTTATATTTATTTTCAAAATATATTATCTAATATATTTTAAATTATGAATTCTTAAAATAATTTTAATCGATTTATAAGAAATATCAAATTTTTAAATTAAATTTTAATTAATTAATTAATAAATTAGCATTTATAAAATCGAGATTTATATATATACTAATATATATTCCTAATTTATTAAATAAATATTTAGAATTTATTATATAAATATTTAGAATTAATTATACATTAATATCTAATATAATACTTTAAAAATAATATAATATTTAGGGGTTTTAAAGTAAATAATAAAATAAAGTTCTTTTTTTAATTAAAGCTTATTTTATATTTTTTAATAAAACTATTAAAAATATAAAGAAAATTAAAGATTATTATTAATTTAGAAAAGGTAATAGAAATTAATATATTAAGAATTAATAATAAAAGCTTTAAAATTTATTATTATATTAATGAAAAATGTATTTTCTTATTTTATTTTATTAAAATAATTGAAAAATTCTTTTAATTCATTATATTTAATCTAATTTTTTTAATTTTTTTTACATAATTAATTACTAATATTATTAAAAATTATTTTAAAAAAATAATAAAAAATAAAAAATTTTGTAAAAACAAATTAAAGAAAAAGTAAATAAATATATAAATCTTTAAAATCATTATATAATTTAAAAGAATAAAACATAATCTTATTATTATATTAATAAGCTTTTTGTATTAAATCTTATATTAAATCTTATATTAAATCTTATATTAAATCTTATATTAAATCTTATATTAAATCTTATATTAATTCTTATATTAATTCTTATATTAATTCTTATATTAAATCTTTTTTTTTTCAAAATACTTTAAATAATTTATATATATAAAATAATATTTTGATTAATAAAATATTAATAAATATTATATAGAAAATACTATATAAGTTAAAAAGAAATTAATATATTGATTTTTATTAACTTCTAATAATTTAAAGAATATAAATTTTAATAAATTCTACAAATATTTTGAATTTAATATATTAAAGATTAGTAAAAAGAAAAAAGAATTATTAATTATAATAAAGTTAATTATTATTTTAATATATTAATTATAAAATTCAATGACCCCAGGACTTGAATTTAAGTTTATTTTACACTTTTAATCCCCACAAACATCGAGATCTTCAAACATCATTTCTTTTTCTGGGAACTGGTTGTTCGTGTCATTTTCACAATTAAGTAATACTACATCTTTTTGGTGAGTTTGAGCAGTTAAGCGATACGCAAGGACCTGGGCATTGTTCTGACAAGTGCAATCTTGAAACAAACATTTTAAGCATAATAATAAGAATCTTAGGTCTAAAGATCTTATGGCAGTTTTGGGATAATATATATATAGGGTACAAATATTCAAGAAGTATTGACTAATAGTTGAGTGTAAACATGATATTTCCTGTTAGGGGTAAGTCCAACTTGTGCAAATTCTCACCGATGTGCCCCCTCAAAGCTCAATTCTCCGCTACATTGCATTGATGTTACCTCATTGTATATTACTCATTGGTTGTAAGAAAAAGCGAAACGAGCTTACCCCGTCGGTAGGGATTGTGGTCACACAAGCAGTTTAAACGATACTCGAAGCTATTAATGAACACTCTGCGGTATGGATGACTACGGCTTATCATCGCCACGTAGAGATGTGTAAATCAAGAGCCTTCAAATCTTCATTCTCTACGTTGACCGCACTGAAGCGACTTTGTATGATATCATTTCTGGGATTCTTTCAATACAGAACATTCCACAATATCGTCTCATTCACTTCATATGAAAAAAACTTAGAACAGCTTTCAAATTGTCTTCTGATTCTCCTTTATGGAGTGACTGGAATTTGAATGCGAATAGACAAGAGTGCAATCTAGTCGTGTTCATTTTAGGGGCGGAATCGAATGGAAGTTTGAACCTGATCAATCCATATGCAGTGAAACTATCAAAATCTAGAAAGGATGATACCATGTCGATTAATATTTTTCCGGAGATTACTTAACATTTACCCAAGAAGCAACGAATAGTCGGTAGTTGATAATGATATTAACATCGTGACAGATTCACTAGCACATACTGTCTTAAGTTGACAAGGCAAATCCTGCTATTGTGGACGATCTCGGAAAAGACGCAGCATCCATGCAGCACAAGAATCTTGACTTAAGTGAATGCTTTTAATATGGAACATATTTCCAAATTGCCAAATTGTGATATATGAGAAAGCGCTTAGTGCTAGGAAACTTATTTTGGAAAAGTGAGTTCTTAGCTTCCCCTTTAGATAGTGAGGTTACATTTAATTCGGGCAGATTTTGAAATTCCTTTGGTCCGAACCATCTGGAAGTTCAGCTGGAGGTGAAACATTTTCGTCGCGTAGAAAGGAGCATGGTGAGATGATATCTGCAAAAGTCCGGAGCTTTGTTCTTATAGACTTCAGAACAGGGTCATTGTCTTTGTAAGTTTGATCTCATATCTTGCTATCTATATTGTTACTAACTGTCAAATTAGACTAATTATGACTCACAAAAGAAGACGACAAGCAAGCGAGGTGTGCATGCTGAAGGGCACGTTGGTCTTCACACCATGGAGCCAAACGATATTCAATTGATCAAAATGATAGCAGAGTCAGCACAACATAACCTCGACCCGACACCGAGAACGAACTACGCAAAAACTTATACTGCGGAAAATCATGTTAGGGACTTGTTCATTGGTCAAGACAGTGAGTGAACACTGTAGGAATCCTAAGATCAGTCTAGTTTTCCATTGAGTCTTTCTAATAAAACGTCTATACCAAGCTAATGCTAAACAGATAATCCCACGTACAGCGATTCAATTTCTACTATACCAAACACTTTAGATACTTCTGCCTTCTATCTCCCTCGCATTACCCTACAGCCTCAAGCTATAGGAACCGTCTTCAATCTCGTCCGGTGAAACAGAGTGCGGTATTCGCCACCTCATTTTAATCAATATGGTGGATACCGTTGGGAAAAGCACCACCCTCCTACATAGCACAATTCACCATTAACGGTCCACCTCTCGACGAACTTCAATGACCACAATCCTACGCTTGGTCTTGCTAGCCACCTCCCATACCACCAACACATCGTTAGAAGTCCATCTCCAATCATGCCTCTTGGCTGTTTACACTCCCAGTCGACCTCTAACCAACAAACATCAGCGATACTAAACCCAGAGAGACTGTAGTTGATTGATCCCGAGCGAGCCGTTTCGATATACGGTGAAAACAAGAAGGATCAGTCCTCATCGAGGCAGAATTCACCGTTCCCAATGTATAATGGCAGATGAAATGGAGATGCGTCCCTAGATTCCCACAGTATTCTAAGAGGCAGTTCTGACGAATTTGTGCCAACAACGGCCGACCCAAGAGGGCACAAGATGCAAGATTCTGCTAGACGCAAGGCAGTCGGGATTTAAAATCTTAGATTCAAGCATTTAAGGGGTAGTGACTCTTCTAGTAGCTTAAAAAGCCTTGATTCGTTGTTTTCCCCCGCGTTCTCGTTATCCTTATTATCTTCCACGGGTTTCCAAATGATGGATGCACGTTATAGACTTGTCAAAAAACGATGAGTTGAAGATACTCATCAAGAAGCCTTGGAAATCACATCGCTAGTGAAGTTAGAGTTAATTTTCGAACTTGTTTCAGACAATTTCCAGACAACTCAGAGCCGGGATTCCTCAGATGAGTACTGTTTCTCGCTATATTTCACTTGGTTCTCACAACGGGTAACAAAAATTACAGCCGATCCATGGCATTAAGGAATCACTCAAGTACCACTACCTACAAATTCATTAATGGGTAACATCGGAGAGCCTGTTCCATTCGAGGATGACGAAGAGGATGTACGACGCAAGTGATGATGGAATTGCCCAACGATCTGAGACTTTTAAAAACACTGTTCAACAATCGAGATCGTAGCATTTACTACAGGTGAGCCTACGACTATTTCTACATTCGAACAATGTTCAAAAAGCCCTCCCTGATAATTGGCTGACCCTTCAGTCAAGAGAAGTACCTTATGAAATCAAAAGTGTCATTGATTGGGAAGTTCCGCAATGATTGCCGTCGTTTTTCCCCGTAGGCCAATCAATCGGGGATATCTTGACACTCATCACCGCCTTTATAGGATCCATTGCATTAAGTGTTCAAGATTATCTTTCCAGAAGTCAAAAAAACCATCGAACTGGATCTTATAAAGTACATTGATATTCAGTTATCTTCGAATGACGAAATGTGAAGTAACAGCCCCTTTATTCCCAACATCTAACAAGACGGTCAATCAACACGAACTTACGAGTGGCCAAGCATCAATCAAGTGATGCAGACTTACTCTCCAGAAAAGCTGTAGAACCGGCGTGCACAATGCTACGAGCGTTGGCATTTCTGCACTTGCAAATTGTGAAACTCATCAATCCTTATATCGACCATGTTTTGGTTATGCTCAGCTTTGCGGCTCTCGATTCAAGACGACTTAAGTCAATCCTCTGTTCTAGTGAAAAACAGATTACTCCAAACCTTTCACAAGTGAAAATGGAACCTTTGACATTACAGTGGTCCCAAACGACCTTCGTCCCTTTTCAAAAAAAAAAAAAAAAAAAAAATTGACTCTGATTTCTGGCATATACTGATTCCTCGCGTGGTTTTTGCTCGGGGATATTCAGTCAAACAGCGTTCGAATAGGATTAGATCATCATATGGCAGTAAGAAGGATACAAATTTGACGAGATAAAAGGGCAAGGATTATTGGAGAAGGGTTCTTTTTTTGAGACATGGGAGATGAGCTTATTCATTTCTGCTGCGGAATTTATGATGTTCTGACATTAGAAATTCCTCAAGTAGAAGAATTGACTTGTATTTGTGCTGGAGTAGCTGATGACACCCAAGTTACATTAATAAGAGTGAATTTTCTAAACGCAGTGCAATGTTCCGTCGTCATGTGTATGGCACTCAGTTCCAGCGAGGGAAGTCGCAGCCGGACCAGTCTCAGCTGGGATGATTCTTGTCGGGTTTACAGTCGGCGCAGTTGATGCAGTCGCTGCAGGAGCACTATGTGAATCCTCTTCCTTCTCAACACTAGCCTTGCCTACGCATCCCTCGCCAGGAACAGCAATATCATAGGCATACGCCTCGGTTGCAAAATACGTCAATGTAGCACTATTGTGTCCTGCCAAAGTATAGTTGCTACCAGCGGCCAGCTCTTGAACGCCATGGTACCCGTCTGCATGGTGATCGACGATTTCTTCGCCAATGAGTGGGACGTGGTAGAGTCTGTGCATGAGATCTGGAGCCCAGAAGTCTGCTGGTCTACCGGTTGCGACATTAAATCCCCGCGCGCATAGTGCGGCGAGAGGTAGGCGGGTTTGATAGGAGAGCGGGCATATGACGGTTTCGGATGTTGCGTTTTCGCCGCGCCAGTGACCTGCCCAGCCTATGAGATGTCAGACGATCTGAGATTGTGAGGGCTCCCTGCTCTGGATGGGTCTACTTACCATCCTGAGTTTCACAGTTACGGTCAGGATCATCACAACGGAAGATAATACCAGCACGATTACCAGAAGCGATCTTGTCAAACCATCCCATTGGTGTAGCAGTAGGACCTTTGCCGAAATACTTTTGAAAAATCTCGGATTTGTTACCTTGTACAAGAACTGAGGAGCTATTAGCATTGGTTGGGACTGATCATCTCAGATGGTACTAGCTGTGATTCTTTGCATGCTCAGCCATTTCAACCGCTTGTCTCAACCCTTCGCTAAGCTCATGACGCTCCGTTGCATTGCAGGATGGGTGGATCGTGAAGTGAGAGATATAACCGCTTTTCCAGTTGTATGCAGGGGCGTGACTTGAAGATACAACAAGCTCGGAGACCGGATCAGGGGAGACTGCGGCGATTCCGGCGGCAAGAGGGTACGCCAATGCACCAAAGGTAATGATGGAGACAACGAGAAAACTTAAGACGTGCATTTTGAAATCCGAGTCGACGATGGTTATATCCAGAAAGTGAAGGAGTAAGATTGATAAGGTGTTGTGTGAGATTCATATCGTCTTTTAACGTAGTTACCTCTCCGGGTTCTCACTCATGCTTCAGTCTTGGAAAGCCACAATTTTTATCGAGCATCTAACCTCGTGAACGCCAAGGACTTGGTCTGACTGCTCCGAAGAGGAAGAGAGATTTGAAGGCCAACATACATGCAACGAGATAGGCAGGGACCACGATGTGATTCCAGCGGAAGGACACTTTGCCAATTACATCTTGACGTTTGTCAAGCCAAGGCGAAGAACTTTTCAGAGTGCAGACGACTAGTATGACATCTAGAATTGGGCACTTTATCAAGTAGAGCTACGATTTATATTTTACCAAATTACAATAAGGATAAGTTACAAGACTTATAATCTGCAGTTATTGTCTTGTCATCGAAGTTGGCCATTCACATTTCTTGACTGTGTTTGAAGGGAAGCGGGGGTGCGTGATTTGTGATTATGTAATCAACAATGAATTTCCTCCTCGATCAAACCTCACGATCCTTCGAAAAAGGCCTTGGAGAGCTGGGTTATTATATCTCTGTCCGGTGTAAAAGCACCAGCCCTGCTGTCGTTTCCGAGTCTATATGCTGAAAGAGTCCGGTAGACCTTTCACATAGCCTTTTATTCACATTGGGCCATTTCTAATCTTTGACGATCACGTCGGTCGCAGTTGGATACTTTGAGTGTTTAGCAAGAGAGTCAAAACAAAAGAAAAGATATCTCTATTTCCGTTGCAATTCTCAAGAAAGAAAAAGAAAAAAAAAGGAATAGAAAGATATCAATCATGTTCATCTTGGATTTCAAAAGCCGACCCTCATTCGACCCATCAAGGTTCTCATGCCCAGGTATGCCAAGCTCCATCTACCATTTAAGCTCATCCTGTCGGCGCCATTCGAATTTTTCATTTGTGCAAGATTGTGAGCCAAGTCGGCCTTTCTTCCCATCTGCTCTATCAATTGTGCAATGATGCGGATGGGGTTTTCTCGCCTCTACTCCCAACATCAATCAATGAGCAGTAACTACTCTTGAACCCATTTTACCTAGCTCGGATAGCAGACTTGCTAAACTTTGAACTTTCCCGTCTATTGAGCTAGAGAATTCAATTGCAAAGATAAATATTTGACGTCGGCCGCATATGGATCTCACATTTCGTTGTCCTTTTTTTCTTCATCTCCCCAAAGCTCTTTCCCTGAAAGCCTTTTCCCTCCCCTTCAGCCTCTTATCTTGACACGCTTCTTTGTGGTGGTGCCGTTCGCGAGATGTTCAGTTCTCGATTTTCTACCACTCTCAGAAGTTTGTTGGTGTTTTCATTACTCGCTGCCATCACAATTGCTCAGATCACGCTCACGGGCTGCCATATCCAGGAAGGACGAGAGTAAGTCTTTGATGTTGCTAACGACCGAGAAAATCGTATTTTAATTGCATACAGAGTATGTTTCCTTCCCGGGGGGGCCAAAACCACGATTAGCAGCAGCACTTCCACTCCAACCCCAACTCTAACCCCATCTCCAACTCCAGCTTCAGTGGCTGCAGAGACGACTGGAAACGTTCAGACTACTGCCATTACTGACTGCCACCAACATGATACTACTCAGTAGGTGCAGATCTTAGGTTTTAAGACGAGAGAGCTAACCAACTTTCAGGTATTGTGTAAAAGGCAATGGCGAAGAGGTTCAAGTATTAGTGACTGCCACTGGTAGTGAAGCTCTCCCTACCGCTTACAGTGGCTGTCATTCTCACGGCTCTGCCATGTTCTGCTTGAGACCCGATGGTGCTGAAGTTGAGGTCGTGGGTTCTACTGAAGAGGCGACTTCCACTGAACAAGAAAGTTCTGCGGAGTCTGAAGGTGGAGAGAACTGCCACTTCCATGCCGGCGTTGAGTACGTTACCCAACCGTGTTAATCACGTTGCCAAAGTTCTAATCTGTGGTAGACACTGTGTTGGTGATTCCGCTAAGGCAACCTGCGAACGAAAAGATCGTGATTACAATGTCAAACTCCGCATTGGGTTGTTGTTTGTCATCCTCTTTACAAGTGCAATCGGTAAGCCTCTTGACTGGGAAATTAGCTCAATCTAACAGAGATCAGGGGTTTATGCTCCAATTTTTATGGCGCGAGTTCTAAAAACCAAAGGAACTGGAATCGTTTTCACCATTGTTAAGCAGTTTGGAACTGGTGTTATCATCGCCACAGCCTTGATCCATGTTCGTCTTTCAATCCTCGCCCGTGGTAAGCAAGTTGCTGACCGAATCTAGCTTGCGACCCACGCTTCATTAATGTTTAGCAACAGGTAAGCAGCCATTACCTCTAGTTGAAATATGACAATACTCATTTCTGCATAGTTGTCTTGGTGAATTGAAATATGAAGCAACCACAACCGCTATCATGATGGCGGGTGCATTTATCGCTTTCTTGATCGAATTCACTGGTCATAGACTCGCACATTGGCGCCAGCAATCTACCATAGAAAGTCAAACTGTCAATATCAGTTCACAAGACAACTCACGTGAAGAAGCGGCAGTGAAAGGCCACCCTACATCTACGCTCGCGCACCTAAGCCACCACCACGACATCACCAGTGTTGGAACCACCCACGCCAATAATGGTATCAGTATCTTCATCCTTGAGGCTGGTATCATTTTCCACTCCCTTCTCATTGGTATCACATTGGTGGTAGCAGGCGACTCAGTCTTCATCACCCTCTTTATCGTCATCGTCTTCCACCAGATGTTTGAAGGACTTGCTCTTGGCGCCCGAATTGCAGCAATTGATGGTCTTCACACCATCAAGTACGGAATCCTTCCAATGGCCTTTACGCTTGTTACTCCAACTGGAATGGCCATTGGAATCGGTGTTATTAACAAGTTCAACGGTAATGATCCATCGACAATCGTTGCTCTTGGAACTTTGGATGCCCTTTCTGCTGGTATTCTTACCTGGATCGGCTTTGTCAACATGTGGGCTCATGACTGGATGTATGGCGAGTTGAGGAATGCTGAGTTGACCAAGACTGTAATTGCTTTGATCAGTCTAATGGGAGGTATGGCGTTGATGGGGCTGCTAGGAAAATGGGCATGAAAAGCGGTGGTTCAATGATTTGACTGAAGCCGTGTTCCATGATCTTTGAAGATTGTGTTCAAGTAATCTACAAGATTAAATTCATTGAAGGGATCTTGAAAAAGTACTTTAGGGTTGATTCGAAGAGAAAATGCACAGGCATTCATTCTTACTATCATTGATATATCTCTGGAATTTAATAGGCACCCTCCTAAGAAGAAATAGCATACGATGATAGAAGCGCATGGATGAGGATAGGAAGAATACTAAAATTCTAGAAGTCTCACAGAACTTTGAGCTCTTTGGTGGGAAGATTGAAAGTCGGGTTGTCACTCTGATTTCTTCGTCGAAAATTACTCACTGATTGACTCTGACGAGTAAATATTTTTCTTGAACGATGATTTATCGTCACATCAAATTCATTGTGTGTAGAGCCGACTTACTTGGTATCAAGCAGCTAGATTCAAACGCTGTCTGTGAGCCTTTGGAGGTCACTGTATATAAATTGGAAAATTAGACGCATAGATACTACGGAAGAAAGGATCACTGCCTGAGTACAAGGTACTAATTACTTCGATGGCAACATCACTCTTTCAGGATTGCTTTAATTGCTTTTTTTTCTCTTTCGCTTTGTAGAGACCAAGTGGGAAATCAAAGCAACTGAACCTTTGGAATGACAAAAGCACTTAATGAGCTCCATGATTAGCGTCGTTCTATTGGTTACACAGTAATACACGATGAAAATATGCAAAGCTTCTCTTGAAAATAGTAGTCTCAGGGAAAATTGTTGAATCACTTGATTCACAACAAGAGGCGAAATTAAATATGCCGAATACACATGAAGTCTAACTGATCAATCTTCAACATTCCAACTAAAAGAAGCATCTAAAGCGGATTATTAAAACTCGACTTTCGAAGCTGAACGAGACAATTTGGTCTCAGTGTTCAAGACTATTTACAGCAACAAGGCTTAACTGTTTACTGTAGAGTGGATTATCATAGTATTGTTGCTCGAAATCGAATGAATCAAGGGATCTTTGATCTTCAAGCTCGAGTACAATCATGAAGCATCAGTGATGTTTGTCCTAAATTGTGAGAGTTGAGCTCATGACTCACCCCACACTCACTCATTCCGTGAAAAAAATCTCTGCCAAAAAGTCCTTTTCCTTTACAATTCATGACATCAAATAACTTCTTCACTAAATTTTTGATTCAATTTTTTGAGATAATAAGGTATGATTGAAACATTTTCATTGTTCAATTGATTAAAGGATCAAGTTATGAAATGTAAATTGTTAAAGATCATTAACTTGTAATACTTTTCTCATACATATCCTCCAGTGACGGAGTATTCCAGCACGAACTGTGGAAAATATTACCCCGGTAGTCTGAGATTTCTGGATGTCCTTGCAGCTTAGACAAATTAAGAACGCCATTCACCGATGCAACGAGCTGTGATCGAATGTTCAACACTTTTGGCGACCATCCTGTACGCTTTTATATGAGCTCTACTTGCCACTCCTTGATTGCCTCGTTCCAGAGATACTTCTCGGCTTTGTTCTAGAAGACTGCGTTATTCGCAATACGATACCTCTCGGCAACAGCATTTGCGTAGGTTCGAAGATCTTCTCCTCGCACAAGACGGTGTTGTGACATATATTCAGTCTCTTCAAATAGGGATGAGGAGGTCTAGGTTTCGATATCACACTGAAGACCAGTGTGTTTATTGTAATATCTTGTACCAGCAATACCACCTGCCGAGTCAGCGACTAAGCAGACGAATAGGCAGTATTCACTTAGATGTAATCATCATAACTATTTTGCCAGATGTGATTGTGTTTGTATATATATACGCTAACGTAAGTCATGGCGTAATGCGTCTAATTGTGGGGGACCACCCCATCAAAAAAGCAACAATTCAACAATGGTCCGTCGAAAAAGTTTAAAAGTGCAGGAAATGGAATCTCGACTTTCTGAAGCAGTATTAGGAGTTCAAAATGGAAAGTATAAGTCTTCATATGAAGCTGCAAAAGAACTGGGGCTTTCTAAAGATACTGTGACGCGACGCGTCAAAGGGGGTTCATCGCGTTCTGAAGCACGTCAATCGCAATAGAAACTTTCTGCTGTACAAGAGAATGTACTTCTTAAGTGGATAAAGCAATTGACAATTAGTGGCTATTCACCAGGCCATTAGTTGTTAAAAGAATTGGTTGAGGAGTTACGTTCAAAACGGACTTATAATTTGGATTGCCTCTCATTTGACTCCCTTGAACTCCCACCACAACACCTTCTTGGTCATAAATGGGTTCCACGATTTATCAAACGACATCCTCATCTTACAGTTGTTATTGGCCGTCGAATTGAATCTGTAAGAATGGATGGTGCAACCAGGGAAACATGTAGTACTTGGTTTGACGCGTATCAAAAAGCGATTCAGGATTATGGAATTGAGAAGAAAGACGAATATAATATGGATGAATCTGGACATTCAATTGGGACAATGGAATCAACTCGAATTATTATCGATTCTACACTTCGTACAAAACATCAAGCACATCCAGGCCGTCAAGAGTGGATTTCAATGGTAGAGTGTATTTGTGCGGATGGATCCATTCTTCCACCACTCGGGATTTTTAAAGGTAAAAATGTCCTTCAAAATTGGATTCCGAAGGAAGTTCTTGGTAGCTGGTTCTTTTCAGCAAATACAAAGGGCTGGACAAGCAATCTTCATGGATTAGAATGGCTAAAACGCGTTTTCGAACCTGCAACTCGTGCAAAAGCAGGTGGCAAATATCGGCTTCTCATCTGCGATGGCCACGATTCTCATATTAGTGGAAGCTTTATAGCTCACTGCCTTCAAAATCGAATTGTACTTCTTATACTTCCTCCTCATACCTCGCATTTGCTTCAGCCACTTGATGTTGCGGTTTTCGGTCCATTGAAAAAACGGCTCACCGCAGCACTTTCTGATTTGAATCAAGCTCAACTTGTACGAATACAAAAGATTGAATGGATGGAGGCATATATTAAAGCTCGAGCCGACGTATGCCATCATCAAAATATCGAATCGGCATGGCGGGGAGCTGGGTTACATCCATTTAATCCACAGAGAGTGTTCCGTACACTGGGTCGAGAGTTTACCCCCGAAGTCGAAATATCCAAAGAACCAACCCAATTTGATATTTTTAACCAAGTCTTCGTCAATAGCTCACCCCCGGATGTAGCAATCTTACAAACAGCAAATAACCTTTTAAATTCAACAATTGAAAATGATACGACTCTTTCAACCCCGGTTCGTCAATACATTCGAAAATTGACGATTGGGAGTGAGCAACTTCGAGCTCAAAGTATTGTTCACCAACACGATGCGAATAATTTACGAGCTATTATGAAGAAACGTACGATACGTAAGAAAGGAAAGAGACTAGTTTTGAAGGGTCATTTTCATATTTCTACGCAAGAATTATGTGATGCAGTAGTGGAAGTCGAAAAAGCTACTAAGGTACAGACAATGAAAAAAGGAAAAGGGAAAGGGAAAGTAATTGAATATGAAACTGAAACTGAAGAGGATATTGGAGAAGAAGTTGAAGATGAATCTGAAAGTGATACTGGAGATTGTATTATAGTTGATTGTTGAGTAATTGAGATTTTAATAGAGTGGTTCCCCGCAATTAGACGCATTACGCCATGACTTACGTTACGCTTTGAGCAACACAGCGCTGGAAGTGCGAAGATTTGGTATAAATTTTTAGATCAACTTGCTACGAATATCTTCTGAACGAATGTCCCTTCAGGGCTCGTTTGGATGTCAATTCCGATCAGAATCCATCAAATAATCCGTTTTTTTCTACCACAATGAATTCCGTAATAACACTTTTTCATTCACAAAAAAACAAATTCCTATATTTCGTTTTTCTAATTATATATCAATTTCAATATAAAATCTACAAAAATAAAAGAAAACGAAGTATATATATAGTATATATACATTTCTATATGAAGAAATTCGAATTTTCAGCTTATTACTATCATCTAAATAATTAAATAAGCGAATATAAAAATAATTTTATTCCAACTAAAATGAATATAAAAATAGCACTTCATTTAATTATAATTAAAATCTAAACTTTAATTTAAAAAGCTTAAAACTTTAAAATATATTGATTAAAGTTTTAAAATATAAAAGCTTATAAGAGTTTATAAATTTATAGATTTTTCAAATGATTGAAAACGATAATTACTTTTTCTAATTGTTATTTTCGATTTATACTTTCATTTCTCTATATAAACAACTAAATTATTTAATAAATTATTTAATATCTTTTTTGAAGATTAAATCCTTAACTTTATTTGATATAACAAACATATTAAAAATAAGAATATTTAATAGAATCTATAATTTGATATTTAACTAGAAATCCGAAATCTGTTATCAAAATGAATGGATGATTTAACGGAATCTGACTGGATTTGTACATTCAAACTAGCCCTTAGTTAATTCTAATTACATACAGCAAGTCTTCCCAGCTTGTACAGAGGCTGTAAATAATCTTTAACTTGAACAGAACATTAATGATACTGGATGGAATACATAGACACGATTGCGAATGAGAGATTGTTAAGTAGAAATGGCAAAACCCACGTGATTACTTTGTAACAGTTGTACGGGGACGCCATTAGAGCAATATTATCTATTCAGTATTAACGCAGGGTCCTTTTCAAAGTGCAGAAACCTGCAAAAGAGAGAAATCCCAGCAAACTGAGATTCTCCACCTTTACAAGGTCGCTTTTCTCGCTGTTTATTATTATGTCTTTCAATATTCTCTATCTCGGCGCTGTTAGCACCGTATTCTTGATAGTTATCTTCAGAGAACATTGCGAAGGTTCAATACTTTCATGACCCCTTGTGATTAAGTGCAAATATGGGTTGGTAGATTTCAGAATTTGAGCTTACCGGGGAGAAGATGAAATAAACCGTTATAAAACAGAGTACGGGAGTCTCTTCATTGCGATCCGTAAAACATCATGCTAGAAGGCACGGCTCGGTTATACAGATCAGCAAAACGTAAGTGAATACTTTCAGAAATGATGGATCGTTTCAGAAAGGAGATCACGAGGAAGTGGAGCCCCACTGGAAGAACTAGAAAATATAATGAACTGATTGCAACTTATCCAAACAATCCAACCGTGGTTCAAATCCCCTGTGTCATATGACTGTTACTATTATCCAATGGCGTGATATATCTCGCCCATGATGAGGTCTCAGATTGTTGATAGGTTCGCTTGCTGACTTCATGATGCATGCCTATACTGCAATCATGGGACCAAGAAGAACATACCATGGACTGTTTTTCCTTTCAAAAAGTGTTAATTTACTAGGTAACGCCGACATTCATTGTTTCACTATTTCATCTGTATTCTAATCTATCATGAATGACAAACTACCGGAATCCTCCATACATTTCAAGATTGACATTTCTAAGTTTCAAAAAATTCAAGCGTCAACTCTTCCATTCTCCGTCGATCTATCAGTAGGGATAGTTCCTGAATCATTTCCCATTATTCCTTATTTTTGTCAGCGGATGCGCCAGTGAGGCTCCTGCAACAGACTTTTTACCTTCGAAACCTCGAAGGTAATTTGCGATATTGCACATTTTGAAAATGTGCATGCCTCCTTTCCTCTCATCACAGTGCACCCGAGTACCCTCCAGATATTTTGAAGGCCCAATGCCAGCAATACCTCCATGTGTCAGATAAAATGGTCCTTGGGAAGCGTTCGAAGTGATATCTCTCGTGTTGGTAATATCTTTCAAATCGGCACTGGTACACCTGCTAACACTTCGTGCATTAGCTTTCGGAGAGTTTCATGTGAGGCGGCTGATCGTGGTATCAGTTTTGCTGGTATTGTGACTTGTAGCTAATTAGCCTGTCGTAACCGCCACTTTCTTTAACGATTGTATTCCTGTCTTTGTTTCTGTGTGTTCGGTGCTTAGCCTTTGGTGCTTGATGAATATACTAGCTACCATAGCCACAGCTGCCAAGCACGTATACAATATAAACATATTCCTGAGACTCCATGCAAAAGCTTCTAAAATCACCCGACGTTGGGAAGCATCCCGGATTAACTGCGGAATGCCCACGTTTGCTGCTGCCTGGCTACCTGACAAAGCCTTGAGAATAGGCTCACTGAGGCCAGTGGCAGCAAGGGATGATTGTCGTGCATCCATACTGTTTTGAAAAACCACACCACCGACCACGATAGACAACGCCATTGCGATGTTGCGGACGAAACCTAAAGAAGCTGTGGCTGCGGCAGTGTCGACCTGGCTAACAGTGTTCTGAATAGCAACCATGGGGGCCTGGAAAAGAAGAGAGGGGCCAAAAGCACCAACAGTTTCCAACCCAATGACGACTGCAACGGATGTATCGGCTCCAAAATGTATGTACAGCCCTGTTCCTAACGTCATAAGGGTTGTTCCTACCCACATGAATTCCCTGTAGCGGCCTGTGCGGTGTATCGTAGCACCAGCCAGAATCTCAAAGACAGCTTGTATTACTATTAGTGGTAGCAGCAAAATACCGCTACGGAGAGGTGACACTTGTAGTACGCTTTGAAAGTATAATGGTAGATAATATTCAATGCCTATTAGAACCATGCTGTGCGCAAATACAACTATAAAGGTTGCATTGTTGGACGAATTTGTAAACACTGCTAGCGGCATTAGGGGATACTTGGCCAGTTTTTTCTCGCTAAAGAGGAAGAACCCGATCATCAGGGTTCCGAATACAATCAAGCAGATGACTTTTGGGCTGTTCCATGGAAATATTGCGCCACCAAAGTCGAGTCCGACAAGAATGAGGAGGGTTACCGCTAAAATGGAGATTGTCCCGAACCAGTCGACAGCTCGAAGGCCTTCGATTAATTTTGTGCGTGGGCTGTGCACATCGAGCAGCAGAAGTAAGAGAACGAAGGTTACTGCCGATATGGGAACATTGATCCAGAAGCACCACCTCCAGCTCTTGTACTGTATAAAAGCTCCTCCGATTAGCGGACCAGCTGATCCAGCGACTGCCCACACGAATCCAACAAAACCTAAGTATAACGATCGTTTCCGTACACTAAAAAGATCTGAAATCGTGATAATCACTACTTGTCCTAGGCCACCACAAGCGACACCTTGTAATGAGCGTGCAGCGATGAGCATTGTCATATTGATACTTAGCGCCACAAGGATGCTAGAGACTGCGAACAACCCAATTGCTATGAGAAGCACGGGCTTGCGGCCCCATATGTCGCTGAACTTTGCCCAGATTGGGCCTGTAGCGGCGTTGGCAAGTAGGTAGGCGCCACCAATCCAAACATAACCAGAAGCAGAATGCAAATCAGCACAGATTGTGGGAATGGCTATTGAGACAATTGTCTGGTCAAGAGCGGCTAGGCCAAGGGCAAGCTACAATGTATCGTCAGCTAGGCAGTAGTGGTAGAAACTAGAGTGGGTTAAGTCACATAGAGAGCCAGTAAGATAGCGTACAGGCGCAGCTTCGTGCGAATTTTTGGACCTTCTACAAGATCGAGAGGCGTGACTGTATTATCATTTGAAGCAATTTCCGGTGATGAAATCTCTCCGGACAAAGCATCATGCGCTGATGAAGGATCGTTGGTCGCGTGGATGTCCATGATCATTTGATAAAGAATGCAGAGTGATATTATTTTCCAAACGAGATGAAACAGTTTGAATGTGTTCTTATAGAGATGAATGATGGAGCAGGGATAGCTAGGACCCCCAGAAGCTACCCGAGTACTTAACCCGTTGTGACTCACCGGTGAGATTGTACCAGTTTACCCATGGAAATAAGTGCCTGCGAGAATCTAGCTTACAAATAGCTAACGGTACCATTCGAATGATTGATACCCTACTCATATAAAAAGTTCCCCGAAAAACTCCATGAACAGTATCAATGTAACTGCGAGTGTGTTTATAATACAACATTCAACGAAGCCCAGTATCATCACATTAGGCATGAGCAATAATTAAGGCACTTTTCAAATATGACTGATTGATAAGTGAGTGTGATCTATGGTGGCATTGATCCGCACATTGCGTGGTAGGTTGATTCGTCGGTATACTTCATCATTGCTTCGTCCCTTAGGTGCGGTTTTTGGGATGAGCGTGGGGAATAATACATTGTGATATTACGAGGATTCTGAGGTTCATTGCGTGAGAGACATAGATATATAGATGCTATGGAGTCTTTTTGAGACAAGTAGTAATAAAATTCGACTCTTTAGTACAGATCGCTAGTTTTCAATGTATGTTATATAATTATATGCCATAGACTATTAACTTATAACGCGAATATGTTCCGTGCGTTGAGCAAGAATATCAATGACTTTACAAACGATATTATATTTAAAGATTTTTATATTTTATTTGAAAATCAAAATTTATAGGAAAAATAATGATTAATATAGCATGATTCATTAGTATGTAGGCTATATATCATTATATAAACTAGTTCATTGTATATATAAAATTTATTTATATATAATCATATACTTTTTTTAATTATTAATAGAATTCTATAAAAATTCAATATATAAATTTTAATAATATTAGTATTATAGAAATTTAATTATTTTCTACAAGTTTTATTTATTATAATAGTTATTGAATGAATAATTTTTTTATAATAAAAATTGTAATAAAATCTACTTTTTTTAAATATACGAAGTATTAAAAAGATATAATACTTATATCTTATATATATATAATATCTTCCTCTTCTCGATTTAGACTTAGATTAATATAGTAAATTCTATATAGTTAATAATACATGTATTCTACTAGTTTATCTCCTTAATTATAAATACGAAGAATATTAAATTCTAAAATAGATTTTTGAATATTATTATTTATTATTATTTAGTATTTTTTTTAATAAAAAAATTGTTAGTTTTTAAAATCTAATTAATAAAAAAAACTCTGATGGTAGTATATTTTTAAAATAGCTCATATAATAATTTAGTCTATATACTAATGAACTATATAATTAAATATGTTTTATTGGTTTTTTCTTCTTTCAAAATAATAATCAATAGATTTTATACATACTATTATATTTAATCTTTGAAAATGTATTTCATAATTTAATTCTATATAATTAAAAAAGTATACTAGATTAGAAATTTAATAATTGTTTGAAAAAGAGATAGTTGATATTAGATTTTATGAATATATAAAGAATTTATTATTTAGTTTTATCGAAATAGTAGATGTTGATTAGTTATTATAAAAAAATGTAACTTACTAGAGGCTTACGAGCCCTCGGACGTCTTGCTTTTCGAGAAATTATTATTTAATTCTTTTTATTATTATAAACTTTAAAATATAATTTTAAATAGTGATTATATGGAGAGCTCGTAGGCGAAGTTGGTTTATCTCCTTTTAACTTCTTTTAGAAGTATTAGTATAAGGTGAAGACTAGTACTATAATAAGATATAATTAATTTCAAGAGATTTTTTATTAATTTCCTTAAAAGCTTTCTTCTAAATCTATATATATATATATATATAAACACTTCAATATCGAAATAATAATCGACTTGATATCGATTTCACTTTAATGTTTATAATAAAGTCTTTTTTCTTAAACTTTTATTCTCGAAAACTTTAAAGCTTATTAAATAGTTAATTATTATTGTATTGATATTACTTTAAAGCCTTATTAAATTATATAGTAATAAATTAATTTTGTAATATCTACATTCTTATTTTATAAGATTTAGCTTTTTCGTAGCTCAAAAGAAATTATATTATAATATAAGAGTATTAAGAATTTAATATGAAATTCAAAAAATCTAAAAATAAATCATTTTATTTTTCGTATTTAATTATACAGAGTGAGGAAATGAATCGCATTCAATAGGCTATCTTTTTCCTTAAACTTTTATACTCGAAAGTATATAAAATCGAAAAACCAAAGGTTAAAATCTTAAAATTCCTAAAAATATATATAATTTTATTAACTTTCCCTTGAATCCTTAAAAACATATAAAATTTAAAAACTATAAACTTAAAAGTCAATAATATATTATTAATATAATTGTATAAATATTAATCATTAAGATCTAATAAATAACTTTAATTTATTAACTACTATATTATAATTATAAACAAATACGGAATACAATAAGCCCTAAACAAAAACAAAAAGAACTAATTCTTCTTATAGCATCTATATAAGACCTATAAGTTTCTATATTTAACTAGCTCTTTAAATAGAATATAATAACGTGATTTATCATTGAATAGACTATATCATTAAGTGGATCATTTTCATCTCAATTTATACTTTCAAACTTATATTATTTAATAACAACTAAATCAATTGATTGAAATTATAAAGATTTTGATAATCTAGAATCTATTAAATCATTTTAACAAATCCTTATATTATACCTAATCTTTTTACACTTACTATAATATTAATTAAAAAATACTTTCCTATTAAAATTCCTTTTTTTTTAATATTTATCATATTGAATTTGAATATCAATCTTTTATTGAGATAATATATTAAAAGCTTTTTATTTAGTAAATACTTTTCCTTAATATAATTAAGTTTTTTTTATATATCAATACTTATTTAATACTTTATTTACCATCCAAAGTATATAAATCTCTATATTCAAAAGTGTATTTTTATAAATTAATCTCTTTATACTTTTAATTAAAGTTATTATAATTTGAATATAAATATAAAAAAGTCTGATTAATAATAAGTTATTTAAGATTTTATTAAAGTTGATTATGAAAAAGCTTTAAATAAATTATAAAGGGTTTAAAAGATTTATAAATCTTAATTGAAAAAAAAAGAATAAATATATAAATTCAAATATCCAATTTCGAAAGTATAATTTTAGAATTGAAAGATATTAAACTTATTTTTCGAAACTTTGATTTCATATTCTAAAAAATGATTGATTTTTTGTATATAGTTTTAAAAGCTATAAAGAATTCAATCTTCGAAATATAATTAATTTGTACTTTAATAAATCCATCAATTTAATTATTATATGAATGTTTTAGATTAAAAAAATAGTTAATATCAAATAACTAAATTAAATAACTTGAATATAATAATAAATTTAAATATATAATATTATTTTCTTCATAATATATTTGAAAAGTTATTAATTTATAGCTTTTATATTTATTTAATATTAATATTCGATATTTACTCTTTTTTCAATTCTTAATATATTTATCAAAATATTTCAATTATTTTAAACTTATTTTATTATTTGTTTATTTATTAAATATAGATTTAATAGTTCATTCTATAAAAAAATTAACTTCGATATATTAATTAAAGAAATAAATCTATCTTTGAATTATTAAAAATAAGGGAATAGTTTTTTTCTTCTTATTTCCACATATTATTATTATAACCTATTCTCGATTATTTAATTATATTGATTTACTTCTATTATATCTTTTAATATTAGTTATAATTATTTCAGAGTATATTATATTTAATATAAAGTCTATTTCATTGAAATTATAGAAATTGTTATTCAAAATATTAAATTTCGCTTATATATTTGTAATCAATTGAAATTAATTTTTAATAAGCTTGGGATCTTTCTAAAAAGCTTTTTGAAAGTCATAAATATAATTAAAACATATCTTTAATTCGATTCGATATTTTATAAATCGATACACTTAAAGCTTTCCAATATACTTTACACTTTTCAATTTAAAAATATAATTCGTTATATTTTCTATTTTCTTAAATTTAAATAAAAACCCTTTTGAATTTATATTAAAAATATATTAAATAATAATCTCCTTTTCTAATTCTATAAATTTATATTGATTCATTTGAGTTTCAGAATATAAAATCAAATTATCTATTTTATGGATAAAGGTTGTATAAGGGATATTGTATAATTAAAAGGCCTTTTAAAGATTTAGTTTTTTATTGTTTTCAATAGCTTTAATAATTAAAAGCAAATATGCTTTTTTATTATTAAATTATATAATAAATAATTAATAAATTATATAACGTAACGTATGGGGAACTCGGACATATGGGGAACTCGGACACTTTTAGCCCATCACCAACTTGAAACCGCAATAACTTTTATTATGCATACCCAATCACCTTCTACATCTGCTCAAATTGAAGAGAAGCTTCAAAAGGCTATAATTTCACTTCAATTGAAAGAATTTAAATCAATTAGAAAGGCTGCAGAGCATTTTGAAGTCCCTAAGTCTACCCTAGCTGATAGGCTGGCTGGGAAGAAAACACGTTCCCAAACCCACGAAATGGCTCAAATTCTTTCAAACGCAGAAGAAAATACTCTTGTACGATGGATTTCACGACTTACCATCACTGGATTCCCTGCTACACCTATGTTGGTGAAGGAAATGGCCGACGAAATTCGTCTTCGACGCGTTCGGGTCGCGTCATCTCGAAATCCTACCTCGACAGAAATTCCACCTATAGGCCACGAATGGATCTATAGATTCCAAAAACGACATCCAGAACTTAAAACATGCTATTCACGTCAATTAGAGTCTAATCGGGCTAAAGAAGCAACTCCGGAGAATATTCAGGCTTGGTTTGACGCGTTTCGCACGCGTCTCATTGAGCGAAAGTATGAATTAGATGATATGT